AAACCTCCGAGACATACGGCAGGCTCGTGTTGTGCCAACTCCAGAGTTGGTCCCTGCCACCTCGGGGGGTGAACCTGAACGATCGGCCGCTTCAGAAACGCCAGATAGGTTGAGGTCGGGCACGTCCTCAAGGCGGATTTGGGACGAAAAATGAAAAATACTCGAAATACTCGAAAATTGTCAAAACTTGTAGAAAAATCGCGGGTCGCCTCCGGTCGACACGACGCGAACTTACCGTAAGCGACCTTACGCGGTGGCTTACGCGGGCCGCCAGCGCGACACGCTACACTGGAAACGACATCGTTCACGCGCGACCTCACGCGGAGAGCTCACGCGCGAACGTCGTCGCAGTCGACCCCGTTTGCGTCCGCCGCTCATGCCATGCGCTAGCGCCAACGTGTGCTGGTCCACCGAAGCCCACGAAATTCAACGACCATGTCGGCGTGTGTGAGATTCTGTATTCGTCGTCGTCGCCACTCCCCTGCGGGCGTTCCACCCGAAGGGAAATCGAACACATTTGATCCCTCCCACGCAAGGGGGGGGTCTCGGAGTGGGGGGTCCCGGGGGGGGGGTCCCTGGGAGCTATGACCCCTCCCATGGCGGGGGGAGCACCCTTCCCTGGGAGAAGTTTTCGGCTCCAGAGCGTCAGCGTCGTCGTCGCCAGCGCCGTCGTCGTCGCCGTCGTCGTCGTCGTCCCCCTTCGGGGTCGGCGGCAGCAGCCGCAATGCCTTCGCAATACGACGCAGGCGGTGTCACGAGGGCCGGCGCAAGCGGCGTGCTGTCGGCGGAGCTTCACGGGGCAAACGCACACTGGGCCAAGGAGGAGGAGGAGGAGGAGGAGGAGGGGGAGGAGGAGGGGGAGGAGGAGGAGGAGGAGGAGGAGACGATCACGGGGGTGCGCCAGGAAGAAGGCCTTCTGAGGGGGGCGGCAGCCTTCCGAAAAGGCAGACGCCTTCTCCGAGGGCCTTCAGAGCCAGCGAATCGGCTCACACGACACGCCTTCAGAAAAAACGCCAGGCGGAGGGGCCCAAACCAGCTGCATGCAGTAGAACTCGTTCCCCAACCTTTCCCTGTCCATCTCGAGTGTGGGCGGCCAGAGACCGGCGTGCGCGGGAAAGGGGGGGGGGACAGGAAGCAGCTTGCCAGGACCCCCCCAGAGGTTGTCGGTGGCTTCCGTTGAACCTTCACGCTCTTGTTCACCTCGGAATGTTTTCCAGCAGCTGCGCTTTCGCCGAAGCAGGGGGGGGCCCGAATCGCCCCCCAACGGCCGCCAGCGGCCTAACCACAAAAAAAACTGCCACGCGTTGCGAAAAACGAAAAAACGGAATTGTTTTTGCCGCTTTTCGGCTTCTGGGGGCCCCACACCGGGCCCCAGGGCCGCCAAGAAACAACTCAAGACGAAAAACTTTACAATACAGCAAGGCAGCGTCCTGTCCACCAGGACGATGAAAGAGAAGGGCAGCAGCAGCAGCAGCAGAAGGAAGAAGTGACGTGACAGAAGGGGGGGACAAGAACGATGAGGCCCAGGAGAAGGCACGAGCAGGGGACAGGGAGGAGAAAGAACAATCCTCGAACGCCCCGCAGGAGCACGTTGGAGAAACCGTCAAGGTAAAAAGTCCGTCCACGCTGCGAAGAAGAAGAAGAACAAACAAAAAAAACGCGTCCCATGTCTGGGCGCGCCCAATGCAATGCCGTGGAAACAGCAGGCGCTGCAATTTCAGGAGGGAACCTTTTTGAAATTCCTGTGAGTCCCGCTGGCTTCTGGTGGAAGCCAAAAGTGTGGCGTTATCATTAAAAAATGCTATTCGCTTCTTGAGCCACAAAATGCTTTGCTGATACCGCAGGCACTGCAAGTTTCTCAGGAGTCGTGCAGAAAAAAACATACAAGACTCCATGTGCGTGTGGAAACCGCAGGCACTGCCAAGCTTTCTGGGGTCATTCTAAAATCCGCACAAGACAAACAGGAAGCCTTGCGATATACATATATATATATACATACAAATACATATACATGTACATAAATACATATATATATACAAGAGCATATATACAAATATACACATATATGTATTTATGCCGATAAGACTATGAATGTATGCTCGTACGTATGTATGAATAGAATCCACGTGGCACGTTCTTTAAATATGTTGCGCGCGCGATTACAGACCTGAAACCAGACTCATACCCTCTACCAATCACTCAAACTCGACAACACAGACGACGACCCGCAGTAACCCTGCTGGTACTACTACGACTTCTACTACGACTACGACTACGACTACGACTACGACTACGACTACTACTACTACTACTACTACTACTACTACTACTACTACTACTACGACTACGACTACGACTACGACTACGACTACTACGACTACGACTACGACTACGACTACAACTACGACTACGACTACTACTACGACTACGACTACGACTAATACGACTACGACTACGACTACGACTACGACTACTACTATTACTAATACTACTACTACTA